CGCAGCACGCTAACCGCTGCACCACCGCTCCCCGCAACACACACGGACACACTCTTCTCTCAGAAGCTCAACGCCCACTCCACCACCCTACCCCCCCAGTGTGAGATCCTCTGCAAATAGACTTGTCCCAAATTGGAATGATGGGTCCCATTGCTGAACGCAGGCCGGTCGAGTGCTGAACTGCTGTTGCCTAGCAAAGTGGCTCTCAAACGGCTTTTGTACAACGGCGCCCGCGGCTGTAGACGCGACCTTTTTTGTGTACTCCGAACACACCATTTGCTGCTGTTACGGCGGCGAGATTTTGACTACCTCGCCCGCTATACGTGAGGTCATGGGTTCGATCCCGACCCTGACGCCCGGTGTATATTTGGAGTTAGCGTGTTCTCGCTCTCTCCCCCGTGGTCTCGTGGATTTTTGTCCGGGTCCTCCGGTTTCTCCCTCCACATTTAGAATGAACATCACGCGTATTTAACTGCTATCAATTCCCACGTGATAAGCCACTTTGTAGAGCTGTCATGTGTGACCAGGTGGCTTCTGAAAAAGAGCGAAACAGCTCAGTGAGCCTTAGCTGGTAACATAACAAAATAGTTTCGTTTCATCATGGGACCGTTGTTTTTTTGCCAGTATCAAAGTATGAAAAATAAGAATACATTTTACCCTTTCAGCGCAATTAAACAGGTGTTGAAATGTTCACACACCAAATTGATGCATTTTGCAAGGAATAAAGTCCGCAATCACCACCCATACTTGTGGTGAACATGCAGACAAACATGCTCTGGTAATAAATGCATTGACTTTGAAACTGATTGGCCTACACCAGGTACAGCCTTCTTTATAGCGCCTAGTCCAGGGGTCGGCAACCTACGGCTCCGGAGCCGCATGCGGCTCTTTACGGGCTGCTTCTTGACGATGAGTACGTATGTACTCAGATGCATTGCGGCTCTTGAAATACTGAATTTTGTACCGAATTGGAAAGAAATGGCTCTTCTTGTTATTTTGGTTGCCGACCCCTGGCCTAGTCTCACCGTGTCAGACCAGAGAACGCCAAAAGGCGGACAGTACAAAGGCAATGCAGACAAAGACAGAGCACGTGTCGATACGTGCATGTCTCCTTGGCGTTTGAACAGCTCAACACCTGCTTTATTGGCTGAAAGGGTGAAAACCCGATTTTAGTTTTCCACAGTTTAGTTTCGTTACGTTGGCAGTGGTGCACGAGCACGGGTCACGAAACAAACTCAACGCGGTCGTCCGGAACCCCGTGGGCTTAAAACAAAACATCGGTGAAAAACAATATTTTCAACGCGCACAATTTTATTTGCACTTAAAGCGGAAAATACATTTTGTTGACCCCCAGATTTAATCACATTTGATGTGCTGATTAAAAGCGGGTGGCGTCCTTTCGATGCGTTTCATTTTCTTCGTGCAAGTCACAGGCATTGTGATTGTGGTCATGCAGCCAAAACTATGGAGCCGTGGAGTCAAAGCTAGGCCTCGGCAAGGCAAGGTAAGGTAAAAGTTAAAATGTAAAAAACACAAACCTACCTTTACCCTACCTTTTACCATACCACAATACAATCACTCTACCATACCTTTAACCCTTACCCCATACAAGTTACCCGATTACAGGGTAATTACTGGGGTACTCCTACACATGAACAAGGTCTATAACAGGTAAATGCTATAGGCAGAGCGCTTTATTCAAATAGAATACTCTCGATGATTCCAATTTGACACGTTTTCTTTAAACTCACTCTGTTGTTGTCGTTGTATCCTCAAATCTTGTAACTCAATTTTAACCCACTTCCCAATGTGGTATAGACTGTAAATTTGGTATACTTATGTCATACTGATGACAACACTATATTCTATCATAAAAAATATATCTGTTTTTAAACATTGTTTTTTACATGTTATGTTTCGGCTTGGGTCTAATTGTCCACGGTCAACTGACGTTGGCTGTAATTGGCCACGGTCCCTTACGTTATGGCAAGCTTCGGGGCCCTTTCCTGGAGTCGTGGAGTTCTACCATTACTAGTACATTTAATAAAAGCATGTTTAAAAAAAGGTTTCTTTAAATATTACTTATTAATTGGAGGCCACGGACTGCGTCACGGAGCTTCTAGCGGTAAACAAGGCAACTTATTTACCAGGTAATACTTTGCGCTACCTTTGCCCTACCGGGTAATTCTTCCGAGCTACCTTTACCAGAGGTGTGGACTCGAGTCATGTGACTTGGACTCGAGTCAGACTCGAGTCATGAATTTGATGACTTCAGACTCGACTTGGACTTGCATAACAATGACTTTGTCCCACCTCTGAGGTGTGGACTCGAGTCATGTGACTTGGACTCGAGTCAGACTCGAGTCATGAATTTGATGACTTCAGACTCGACTTGGACTTGCATAACAATGACTTTGTCCCACCTCTGAGGTGTAGACTCGAGTCATGTGACTTGGACTCGAGTCAGACTCGAGTCATGAATTTGATGACTTCAGACTCGACTTGGACTTGCATAACAATGACTTTGTCCCACCTCTGAGGTGTGGACTCGAGTCATGTGACTTGGACTCGAGTCAGACTCGAGTCATGAATTTGATGACTTCAGACTCGACTTGGACTTGCATAACAATGACTTTGTCCCACCTCTGAGGTGTGGACTCGAGTCATGTGACTTGGACTCGAGTCAGACTCGAGTCATGAATTTGATGACTTCAGACTCGACTTGGACTTGCATAACAATGACTTTGTCCCACCTCTGAGGTGTGGACTCGAGTCATGTGACTTGGACTCGAGTCAGACTCGAGTCATGAATTTGATGACTTCAGACTCGACTTGGACTTGCATAACAATGACTTTGTCCCACCTCTGAGGTGTGGACTCGAGTCATGTGACTTGGACTCGAGTCAGACTCGAGTCATGAATTTGATGACTTCAGACTCGACTTGGACTTGCATAACAATGACTTTGTCCCACCTCTGACCTTTACCCTACCCTTTACCTTACCCCTTGGCATGTCGACAACTTTTCCCTTTTACCCGGTAAAAAGGGTAAATTACCTTTCCTTGCCGAGGCCTAGTCAAACCCACTGTTGGTCTTTGCTCTTTCAACGGAGGAACAGCGACACGAACTCTTCTATCTCTCTGCTGAAGCCCTCTCATCGTGGCCAACAACAGCAGCAGCAGCAGCAGACCTCCACTTCTGGCATCGTGCTCCCGAATGTATCGTCATGGGGAAAGCACGGAATCGCTTCTGAATCGAGAAATAGCTGCGCTGTGATGCCCTCTGGTGGGAAAGCGATGAATTGTTTATATCTAAAGACGATGAATTGTTTATATCTAAAGACGATGAATTGTTTATATCTAAAGACGATGAATTGTTTATATCTAAAGACGATGAATTGTTTATATCTAAAGACGATGAATTGTTTATATCTAAAGACGATGAATTGTTTATATCTAAAGACGATGAATTGTTTATATCTAAAGACGATGAATTGTTTATATCTAAAGACGATGAATTGTTTATATCTAGACGGCTGGCATGCAGTGTGCCGGAGTGCGATATCAACTCTCAACACCTCTGTCGAATATCTCAGTTGATGGCTCGCTCTCCAAATATACTGTTTTATTTTGCGGTCATGGTATATGGTTGTGTGTGTTTTTTTATTTGATTGAAAATAAACCGCGACGTTTTGTGTATTAGACACATACTGTAGTCTCGAGGCGAATTTTCAAGAGGGCCTTGATTTTGGATACCTCTGTGTGCCCGTGCGTATCTGCCTCTTGTATTTGTGTGTCTGCGTGTCTGTCTGGCTATGGTTATGTCCACTTGATTTCCTTCCTGGGTCATTGCCTACCTGTCCGTATATTTAACACGTAAGGCTTTCACGACCAATATTATCCATTAAGGAGGTGTTTTTCGGTTAGATTGTGTAAATATAAATGTGCCGTTAAACCCGCCGCCACCCGACACAGCCAATTAGTAAGGTTTGTCACGTAAACAGAACATTGCCAATTAGTTACTAGTTCAGCACACCGGTGTGTTGGAGAGTAAACCCACAACATTTACAATTTGAATTCGACGTTTCGCCAGTAATTACAACCAGCTTCATCAGGCGGACAGCCAGAGTTGTGGAGAACTTCTCCTGTTTAAGTCTTAAATAGCGGGATAAATGTGACTGTCGTCACTTGTGAAGCAATCCCGTATATGTCTTCGTGCCTGTGTCTAATCAATGTTATAATTTTTTGTAATTTTCATTTCTATATATATGTCTTTGATCAGGTAAGTCCCATTGAGCTACGTAGCTCTTTTTCAGAAGCGACCTGGCCACAAATGATAGCTAAACGAAGTGGCTTATCATCACTTGGAAATGTATAGCAGCAGCCACATGCTCTAAACGCGTGCTGATTCTAAATATGGAGGGAAAACTGGAGGATCTGGAGAAAAATCCACGCGACCATGGGGAGAGAAACACGCAAACTCCAAATATACAGCAGCAGGCGTCAGGGCCGGGATCAAACTCACGACCTCCTGTATGCCAGGCGAGGTAGTTAACATCTCGCCACCGTGGCCCCCTGATCTCCCTGTGTGCCTGTCTCCCTGTGTAGGGCGGTCTGGGATTGTTGTTGTTGTTTTGCTGCCTTGCCCAAGCTTGCACTTGGTGTTGACAAATCATCAGGAATCTATGTACTTGTGGAATTTATTTAAATGTATTTAATTTATAGCGACTTGATTCACCTTTTCTCTAGCTTCATCTTGCATCGTTTTTTATTGTTTGTTGATGCAACTCGCCGGGCTGCTCCCCCTACTGGACATCTGTGCAAAACAGCTTCATAGCTCATCGGATTTCTCTACAGTCTCAATAAATATTCTGATTCTGATGTTAATTACACTCCCAGTCTGCCTCTCTGTCTGTGTTCTTCTCTACCTGCCCGCTCAACTCTCTGCGTGTGTTTGTATGTCTTTATGAATCTCCCTCCCTCTGTCCGTCCGTCACGCAGTCTCAACTTCACTCTGGTGACTCCAGTCCCCGACGGAGCCGGAGATGCCAGGAAAACGCATGCCAGGACCACGGACCCCATGTCCAGCCAGCGCCACATGGGAGAGACGCTCGCTAACTGGGCTGACGTCAGAGCCGGAGAACGGGCCTCCAGCAAGCACAGGCAGTTCAGCGACCTGTGGGTGAAACTCCAGGGCAGGTACGTATTTAGATGTACGTTGAGATTTTTTCTAGCCGCACGTAGCCAACCGTGCTAATCGGAGGTGCCGGGGAAGCACAGCAAACTAATCAACAAAACTAAGCTCTAAAGAAAAGGTGAATCAAGTTCTAAAGAACTTCATTTTAAATCATCTAAAGAACTCCGTTTTAAAACTAGATTATTTAAAAGTGCACAGCTGCCGTGGCTTCCTATTATCGGAAGAACGTTCCAGACGGCCGCAGAAACCCGTCTGCAGGTGCGCGTGCACGCGGAGACCGTCTTTGTTCGACGGCGAGCAGCCCAAAGTCGTCAGGGCAGCACTTCCTGAAGACAACCGCCCGACACGGTGCCGGGAAGCGCTGCGTGATGTCGTCGTCACCCCCCCCCCCCCCCCGTGCCACTCCACACCCACGACTCGTCCCGTTTAGCGACGTCGCCACGACGCCAGCGGCTGCTCAGCGACGGGCGGTGAACGCCACGGCGGTGGAGGAGGAGGAGGTGGAGGAGGAGGTGGAGGAGGAGGAGCAATCAACGCAGCCGCCACCTTGGACGAGGAGGAAGATCTCCTTACCCTCTACCGCGACGACGACGACGATGCCGACAACATCGTCGGGTCCGAGCCGAGAGCCTCCGCGGCTGCTGTGGCCGGCACTGCTGCTGTGGTTGCTCCATTGAGATGATTTAGATTACACCCCCCCCCCCCTCACTGTAAATGCCCACGTATGAAACTACAATAGGTTTAATGCCTTTCTGGCAATAACACAGGTGTATCTCTTGCTCTTGCGGGTTTTCTGTTGCTGTTGCCCGGCTCTCTGACTTTGACACGCTGATCGTCTCATTGGCGCAACCCCCAGTTGCTGGAGCCGTCTCACACTGACATGCTAATCTCTCAGATTGACACTCACGTACAAAATCCTTCTCGAGCTCCGCCCACTTACCCTGTGGGTTGGGCCCACCAAAATCCTCTATAACCTCTTGTTACAGCAGCTCTGTCTCCTACGTCAGCAGTTCTCCTGCTGTGTTTGTCTCACCTGATGACGGTTGCTTGTGTTGCGATCGAAACGTCGTGGTCTATTCATTTTCTATCTACGTGACTTTAGCGAACGAACCAAAGAGTACAGGTGTTGAGATGTTCAAACATCAAACAGAATCATTTTTCAAAGAATCATGTCGGCATTAACCACACGTACTTGTGGTGAAGATGCAAATAAAAACATTCTCTGATAGTATATGGCATTGCCTTTGAAACTGATTGGTCCACAACAGAAACAGTTTTCTTTTGAGCCTAGTCTCAATGTGTTCGACCAGAATGCAAAAAGGCGAGCAGCACAAAGACAATGTAATATCAGCAGTGGTGGGGCCGGGATTTTCAGGAAGGGGGGCAACCCCTCCAGCAATGAAACATGATAGAGGAGTTGTTAGTAAGTAAGGACTTGTTAGTAAGTAAGAACTTGTCCCTTGCTTTTCATTCTAAGCGTGTGCAGCGATGGCGCAGACATCAATCGAGGGTCGAATTCCAACCGTTGTGTGATCGGCATCGCGCTTGCTGAAGGTGAATACCTTCAGGGAAGTCGTGTGCTGTATACGCAACTGCGCACAATTCTGAGTCACTTATAACCGCTTTGCCGTTACTTATTGCCAAGTATGGACTCAGACTATTGTTTATCATCTCATAGAGTCCCTGGCACGTAATAATATGTTACACAGTGGGAGTGGAGGTCGCAAAATGCCGATTTATTACTAATAAACTCCAAAGACCCGATCGAAATTAGGGATTTCGATCGGATCATTTGGGGGTCATATGCCTCCGCCACTGAATATAAGGACATTTATATCTCGGGATGAGTAGCTACAATATGGGAACTTAACACAACAATAGGTTTGACTCTTTGTGCCAATAAAACCGGTGTTAAGATGTTTAAACACCAAACAGAATCAATTTTCAAGGAATCCTTTCTGCAAATATAACAATAGGGTAAATCTTATTGTTATATTTTGCTACTGGCAAGACAGGTCGCAGACAGCTGCTCACACCGAGCTATAAATGCCCTGATAGTGCATTGTCTTTGTGCTGTTCATCTTTTAATGTTCTCCGATCGAACACTTTGAGACTAGGCTCAAAATGAAAGCTGTCTCTGGTGTGGACCAATCAGTTTGAAAGACAATGCATCATTTAAGCAGAGGAAGTTTTTGTTTGCATGTTCACCACAAGTACGTGTGGCTAATGCAGACAGTATTGTTTGAAAAGGGATTCAGTTTGATGTTTGAACGTCTTACCACACCTGTTTTATCGCCAGAAAGGGTAAAACCTCTTCTTATAAATGTCCACGTGATGATCAGACACTTTGTGGAGCTTTCGTTTGTGGCCAGGCCGCTCATGAACAATAAGTTAATAGCTCGGTGGGCTTTACCTGGTAATATGAAAACAGGTTAGTTGTACATAATCAACGTTTTTGGGTTTAGATCGCGTTATTTATAAATGTTGTAACCCTCCACCACCCGACACGGCCAATCAGTAAAAAAGTGTCACGTTGACAAAAGCGTGAAACCACGCTTCAACACACCGGTGGGCTAAAGCAGTGAACTATTTGTCTTTTGTCAACGTGACACTTTTTTACTGATTGGCCGTGTCGGGTGGTGGAGGGTTACGAGACATTTATAAATAACGCGATCTAAACCCAAAAACGTTGATTATGAATAATATTGGTCGCGAAAGCCTACGTGTTAAACTGAGGTTAGTTGTATTTGTATCATTGTAAGTGATGTGTTTACCTTTCCTCTACTTTGCACTCCTCTCGGTGTTTTGTTTGTATTTGTTGTTGTCGCAACGTCGTGATCCCCCCGCGCCCCTACCCGACATCTGTGAAACAAAAGATTTGAAGCTTTCGTGAGTGCAAGGATTCATACTCTTAGGTTTTTTCGGTAAAGTCACGTAGGTAAAAATAAGTAAATAAGAAAATTAGAAAATACAAATTATAGAAATAATAATAGAAATAAAATTATAAGTCACGACGTTTCGGAGACAACACAAGTCTCCGTCATCAGGTGGGACCGTCACAGCTAAATTTACTGTATCAAGTGATACAGTATCATTATTTTTATTTTTTATAATTTTTCTATTTTTTTACCTACGTGACTTTACCGACAAAACCTAAGAGTATAGCTTCATAGCTCATCGGATTCCTCCGGGTGGAAACAAATTTTCCGATTCTCGTCGCCCGCGACTGGCTCATCGGCGGCACCACCGGACGGTCCATTGGCCGACCGACGATCGCACTCGCGTGAGCGTTCGAGGCAGGGGGGGGGGGGTGGTCGGAAAGAGGAGCGGTTGTGTGGGAGTTTCACAGAGTTGTACGTTTGCTGCTCGCCGCTCGCTGCTGTTGTCAACGGTGCTATTACCGCACGGCTCTGGTTCGCGTCGTTCGGGCGGCCGTGTCCGACGTTTCGCTCCGTCCACGGTGGGGGGGGGACGGGACTTCTCCGTCGACTGGAACCCAGCTCAATTTAGCACGTAGGCTTTCCCGAACAATATTATTCATAATCAAGGTTTTTGCGTCAGAACGCGTTATTTATAAATGTGTCGTAACCCTCCACCACCCGACACGGCCAAACAGTAAAAAATGTGTCACGTGCCACATTTTTTACTGTTTGGCCGAGGACTACGACACATTCATAAATAACGCGATCTGACCCAAAAACCTATATTATGGAACCCAGCTGCTGGGGTTCAAAAACAGCCTCAAGAACTTCCCACCTTCTCGTCAGGCTACGACTGCGTTAGTGTTTGTACGAAGCGAATGCGATACACCGTTTCTGAAGAAGCTCCAGCCACGTGGGAGCGAAAACGTCGGACATCGTACCAAACAAGCCCGGAAACACAGCAGGGGGAAATTACGGTGGTGATGCCGATGACCCGAATCGTCTGGACGAATTGGCCCGATCCTGTCGGATGTTGCGGGTTGAGCCTGGACAACGCTTGGATGGGTCAATCACCGGTCACGTACCTGGAGTTTGATCGAAGGGCTTAAGGCAAGTGTCACGTTGTGAACAGCAGAGGGCAGTTGCAGCAGAAACCCCGTGCCAATCACAGATTGGCGAGTAACTCGTATAGCAGTGGATTCACAAAACGGGTTGGGCATATGAAGGGGGAATGAAAAAAAGGGAAAATTGTAGCCCTGCAATTGGTTACTCACGCGACTGGCGGAAGGGCTCCACGAGGGGGAGCTCTTAGAGAGGGTATGTGGCCTACTCCTCCACGCTGCTCCATATGTTGGAGAGAGGTGAGAGTACCCACACTTTACCCCACCGCGATCAGCTCACTGTGGTGAAGCTGGGAGGCAGGGGGATTTAAGAACTAGCCCCATTGTTATGAAACTTGGCCTATTGTGATAAAATAAACTTTTCCCATTGTTAAGAACCCATTGTTAAGAAACTTGCTCTATTGTGATGTAAGAAACTTTTCCCATTGTTAAGAACCTTGGCCTATTGTGATGTAAGAAACTTTTTCTATTGTTATGAAACTTGGCCTATTGTGATGTAAGAACCTTGCCCCATTCTTACGAACCCATTGTTAAGAAACTTGGTCTATTGTAATGTAAGAAACTAGCTCCATTGTTACGAACCCATTGTTAAGAAACAGCCTATTGTGATGTAAGAAACTAGCTCCATTGTTCCAACTGCCACGCGGGGAGATCGAACCGGCGACCTCCAGGTTGCGAGTCCAGTGGCGCTAACCACTTCACCTCTGGAGAAGCATCCCTCTGTACATGTACATTATAATAATATATATTTTAAAACAATATTTTGCAAATGTTTCTCACTGTTTATTTCTTGCGTGCGTAGTGATGTTAACGACCCCGCCCGGTATACAGGAGGTCGTGGGTTCGATCCCGACCCTGACGCCTGCTGCTGTATATTTGTAGTTTGTGTGTCCCTCTCCCCGTGATAGCGTGAATTTCATACCGGGTCCCTCCACATTTAGAATCGACACGCGTTTAGAGTATTTGGCTGCTGTAAATGTCCACGTGATAAGCCACTTCGTTGAGTTATCATTCGTGGCCAGGTCGCTTCTGAAAAGGAGCTACATAGCTCAGTGGGTCTTCCTTACCGGGTAAAATAAAAGATAAATGTTCGATCCAGCTGCTTTTGGGGTTAGAGTTGGTGGATTGCGAAAGCTTCATAGCGAGACTCGCAGCTTGTCCGGCTGATAGGCGGTCGGTAGGTGGCAGTACAACAAGTAGGTGCTGAACTATTTCAGAATCGTCGACTTTTCAGCTGCAGCACACCGCGGGAATGGGAGTCAATGATGTAATGGATGGAAACAAAACAAACAAAAAAAAAGAATTTGCGGAGAGGGAAGAGAGAAGAGAAAGAATAATAAATAGGAGGTAGAAGATGGGAATGGGATGGAGGAAGGGGAGCACAGGGGCCAGGAAAGTTGAGTAAACTGAACGATAAAAATGAACTTTTTTTTCACCAGGTAAGGCCCACTGAGCTATATCGGGTTTTTTCAGAAGCGACCTGGCCACAAACGATAGCTCAACGAAGTGGCTCATCACGTGGGAATATATAGCAGCCAAATACTCTAAACGCGTGATGTCGATTCTGAATGCGGAGGGAAAAAACCGGAGGACCCGGAGAAAAATGAACGTTACGACGAGGAGAGAGACACGCAGACTCCAAATGTACAGCAGGCATCAGGGTCGGGATGGAACCCACGACCTCCTGAATACCAGACGAAGTAGTTAACATCTCGCCACCGAGTATCGGGTGGAAGAGGCCCTCGACACTGCTACTTGCTACACGGAGCAGCGTGTGTTTTCACAGGGGCAGGGGGAGATGGGAGGGAGGAGGGATTCAGAGTGGGGTTGGCCACACATAGAAGTCACGTGATTTCCGTGAGTCTTAAGCTAGTTTAGATCTGTAGTCAATAACGACAATTACAGAGATGCGGAACGAACAACAATACAAAATATTTTTCGATTTAAAGCGTTCGTGACTGCAGGGATTCATCTTCTTGGTTCTTTCGGTAAAGTCACGTAGAAGGGAAATAATAAAATAATAAAAATAAAAAATAATAAAATACAATTCTCATTCATTCAGACGCTTTCCGACAGACCTGTTGTTCACCTGAGGACGGCTGCTTGCGTTGTGGCCGAAACGTCGTGAGAATTGTATGTTATTATGTTTTATTTTTATTATTTTATTATTTCCCTTCTACGTGACTTTACCAAAAGAACCATGAAGAAAATAAAAATATTGAACATCGGTCGTGAGTCCACTGCAGTGAGGATATGCCGCCGAATGGCTTCATGAGTCGTGACGAGTGGGAAGCTGTCAGCAGCCCTCACGCCCATTCTGTTGTTAAGTGAGAAATCACGACGAAATGCCACGTGGAAGTTTGTAGCAGCCAAACACTCTAAGCACGTGATGTTGATTCGAAATGAGGAGGGGAAAACTTGAGGAGCAGGGATACAATCCAAAGGACTCATATTCTTCGTTTTTTTTCGGTAAAGTCACGTAGGTATAACAGTCACAGCACGATAGCTGTATCCCACTTGAATCGGTCCTGGGCATTCTCTAGGTCGACTCAGACTTAAACGAGTAAAACTGTGTAAACATCGCCGCTGGGGAGACAAAGGCGGCCGAGCGTGGGGCTGGCCACCCACCCCCCCGTGTGCCGTTCCGGCCTTCACAGGTGCTCGCTAACAGCACTTGCCCCAACAGTCTGCTTAGGCTATATGGGGGATCTTTGTCTTTGTGGAACTCTCGTGTGGGGAGTGTTGGCGCAGCGGTTAGCGCTGCCCTGCGTCACGACCAATACTAGCGGCAGATATTTGAACCGGTCCTGGGCCTCTTCTAGGTCGACTCAGCCTGAAATGAGTACTTGGTGCGGAGTGTAGTTAAACATCGGTGAGACAAAGGCGGCCGGGCGTGGTTCCGGTCACCCACGCCACCCCGTCGTGTGCCGTGCCCTCCTTCATAGGTGCTCGCAAACAACACTTGCCCTAACGGTCCGTTGATGGCTATACGGGGGATCTTTGTCTTACTTTATGCATGTATCTGATGTTTTATGTCGATTTAAAGCTTTCGTGACTGCAGGGATTCATATTCTTGGTTCTTTCGTCACGTAGAAGGGAAATAATAAAATAATAAAACAATAAAACAATAAAATACAATTCTCACAACGTTTCGGCCACAACGCAAGCAGCCGTCCTCAGACCTGTTCTTCACCTGAGGACGGCTGCTTGCATTGTGGCCGAAACGTCGTGAGAATTGCATTTTATTATTTATTATTTTTATTATT